GCAAGGTGAGAGTGGAAATTAGTTGGGAGGCTTGATCTTCCCATGTTTTCCCTGGAGCCTTCAAATCTTTGACGCTTATTTGAAGATCCCCTACCAGTAGCCAAATCTTAAATACGCATCCAACAAGGCAGACAGCGACCATGCCTTAAGAGACCTCAGAAATCTACTGGGGCTACAGAAAAAAATTAAAAACTCAAAGATTTACTTATACTTAGGTCAGCCGTTCTCAAAATTTTTTTTTTGTCTCACAGCCCCTTTTGCACTCATAAAAATTAAGGATCCCAGTAATTTATATGGATTATATTTACATGGGTTGTGTGTTTATAGAATTATATCTATCAATATTAAAACTGAGAAATTTCTGAAATAGTTATTGTTTAGGGGGGCCGGCCCGTGGCTCACTCGGGAGAGTGCGGTGCTGATAACACCAAGGCCATGGGTTCAGATCCCATATAGGGATGGCCGGTTAGCTCACTGGGTGAGAGTGGTGCTGACAACACCAAGTCAAGGGTTGAGATCCCCTTACCCGTCATCTTTTTAAAAAAAATAATAATAAAATAAAATAGTTATTATTTTAAAAATCCATTGTGTGGGCCGGCCCGGTGGCGCACTCGGTACAGTGCGGCACTTGGGAGCGCGGCGGCGCTCCCGCCAAGGGTTCAGATCCCATATAGAGACCAGTCCGTTCACTGGTTGAGCGCGGTATGGGCGCGACACCAAGCGTTGCGATCCCGTTACCAGTCACGAAAAAAGACAAAAAGGAAAAAAAAAATCCATTGTGTGTCAACATAACATAATATCACGTAGGGAGCGAGTATAGACAGAAAGGGCTGGGACTCTCCAAATTTTAGAAACTAGAAAGAGGAAGATCCAATGGAGATTGAGAAGAAACAGCCAATGAGGAAGCCAGGAAGAAAACCAAGAGAGTGGTTTGTGTCCTGAAGGCCAATAAAGAAAAGAGGGATCCGGTGAATTAAATAGGTAGTGTTGCTGTTCTCAAACTTTAGTGTACATCGGAATCACCTGAAAGGCTCATTAAAACACAGATTGCCAGGCCCCACTCCCAAAGTTTCTGATTCATTAGGTGTATTTGTTTCCTAGGACTGCTATACAAATTACCACAAACTTGGTGGCTTAAAACAGAAATTTATTCTTTCACAGTTCTGGAGGCCAGAAATCTGGAAACAAGATGGCAGCAGGGTCACTTCCTTCAAAAGCTCAGAGGGAGAATCCTTCCTTGCCTCTCCCAGTTTCTGGTGGCTCCAGGCATTTCTTGACTTGTATCTGCACAACTCTAATTACTGCCTCTGTCTTCACATGGCCTGTTCCTCCAGGAGTGCCATTTCTCTGGGTGTCTCTTATAAGGACACTTGTCTTTGGATTTAAGGCCCACTAGGATAATCCAAGTTGATCTCATCTTGAGCTCCTTAACTCAATTACATCTGCAGAGACCCTTTTTCCAAATAAAGACACAGGTTCTGGGGGTTAGGAGGAGGATATATCTTTTGGGGGGCCACCATTCAGCCCACTACAGTAGGTCTGGCATGGGGACTGAAAATATGCATTTCTAACAAATTTCCAGGTGATGCTGATTCTGCCTGTGTGGGGACCACAACTCCTGATGTAGAGAAGTCTAGTAAGGATGGGGACTGACAATTGACCACATGGATATTGGTGACTTTGAAAAAAGTGGTTCTGGTGGATGAGTCAAGATGAAAGCCTTGTTGGAGCGGATTCAAGAGAGAGCTGGAAGTAGAGTCAGCAACCACAGACAATTTCTTGATAAGGTGAAGAAATGACAAAGCTGTAGAGGGACGTAAGGTTAAGGAAGAATTTTTTTTTTTTTCTTTTTTTTAAAGATGACCGGTAAGGGGATCTCAACCCTTGACTTGGTGTTGTCAGCACCACGCTCAGCCAGTGAGCGAACCGGCCATCCCTATATGGGATCCGAACCCATGGCCTTGGTGTTATCAGCACCGCACTCTCCTGAGTGAGCCACGGGCCGGCCCAAGGAAGAATTTTTTTTTTTTCTTTTTTTTAAAGATGACCGGTGAGGGGATCTCAACCCTTGACTTGGTGTTGTCAGCACCACGCTCAGCCAGTGAGCGAACCGGCCATCCCTATATGGGATCCGAACCCATGGCCTTGGTGTTATCAGCACCGCACTCTCCTGAGTGAGCCACGGGCCGGCCCAAGGAAGAATTTTTTAAGACAGGAGAAACAACAGTATGTTTGTATGCTTGTGAGATGAGTCAGTAGAGAGGGATAATTTGATGAGTCAGAGGTAAGAGGGCATAAATCACAGGAGGGATGTCCTTAAGGGGGCAAGAAAAATGGGCCACAGGTAAACTGGTTTCCCTTAGAGCTATGTCCTCCAATACAGCAGTCACTCACCACATATGGCTATTGAGCACTCGAAATCTAGTGAGTCCAAATTGATGTATGCCCTGAGTGTATTGATGTATGTACTAGATTTCAAAGACTAAGTATGTTATAAACTGAATTTCATCTCCCCAAAATTCATGCCAAAGCCCTCACCCCAATGTGGCTATATTTGGAGAAAGAGCCTGTAAGGAGGTAATAAAGGTTCAATTAGGTCATAAGGGTGGGCACTAATCTGATAGGACCAGTATCCTTATAAAAGGAGGAAGAGACACAAGAGATTTCTCTTTACAGGTACACAGAGGAAAATCCATGTGAGCACTCAATGAGAAGATGGCCTTCCATAAGCCAGGAAGAGAGGCCTCACCAGACTGCACCCAGGTGGCATGTTGATCTTGGACTTGCAGCCTCAAAAACTGTGAGAAAATAAATTTCTGTGGTCTTACTGGCCGGCTGCAAAAAAATAAAACTAAATTAAAAATTAAAAACCATTTGGGCCGGCCCGGTGGCTCACTCGGGAGAGTGCGGTGCTGATAACACCAAGGCCCCAGGTTCGGATCCCATATAGGGATGGCCGGTTCGCTCACTGGCTGGGCGTGGTGCTGACAACACCAAGTCAGGGGTTAAGATCCCCTTACCGGTCATCTTTTAAAAAAAAAAAAAATTAAAAACCATTTTTAAATTTCTGCTGTTAAAGTCATCTAGCCCATGGTATTTTGTTATGGCAACCCAAGCAAACTAATACACAGTACAAAAAGAAGAATTTTAAATATCTCAATATTTTTACATTGATTACATGTTAATATATTGGATATGTTGGGTTAAATAATATGTATTGTTAAGAATAATTTCTCTTTCTTTTTATTTTTTCATGTTCAAAGTTGCTATTTGTAAAAACCAAAAACTGGATACAAACAAAATGCCCATCAACAGTTGAATGTATAAATTTTGTCTTATTCAGAAAGTGAAATACCATACAGTGATGAGAATATAAGAACTACTGCTACTTATTCGAGTGATGAATTTCACAAACATAATATTGAAAAAAATAAGTCAAACACAAAAGAATACATACTGTATAACTTAACTTATATAATAAAAAACAGGCCAAATCAAACTACAGTTTTATAAGTTAGGAGGATAAGGACTAGTGATTTGTAAAGGAGGAAGGAGCTAGAGATTTTCAAGGGAGTAAACAGTGGATTTCTGGGCTGATGATAATGTTGATCTCGGTAGTGATTACATGAGTTTTTGCTTTGTGATAATTCATTGGGCTGTGCATTGTGTTTTGTGAACATTACTATATGACGTGTCATCCTTCACAATAAAAAGGTAAGGAATTAACATCACATGCTTAAAACTACTAAAAGAAATTTTAGAAGCTGGAGTTAATCACAGATATGAATTTTGATGCAGATTAAAATGCAGTGACAGGTATTCTACCTGTAGTAGTTTGAATTACTAAAGGTAGGAGTTTTGCCAAACAACCTAAAAATTTTAGTAGCTTAATGCAATAGGTTCTTACTTACAGAAAGTTCAAAATGCTTTATGTAAGTCCAAGAAGAAACCAGGGACTAAGCTCCTCTTGTCTCCTGGATCTCCCGTCCTTGAGTTCTCCACTGAATTCTCAGCTTCCAGCAGCCAATGATTGAAGGGAGGGAGACATAGTAAGGATTATAGAGGATATTTTATGCCAAGTCCTGAAGTGCCCTACATCACTTCTGCACCCACTCCATTGGCCCAAGACCGGTCACATGGCCTCAACTCACTGGAAGGAGGCCTGGGAAATTGTTGTCCTCCTACGTGAGAGAGAGATCAGGGGCCATCTACCCTTGGTCCTCTAGTTACCTGTCTACTCATCTCTAAGGGGATTTATGTTAGTCCGTTTTTGTTGCTTATAACAGAATACCTGAAACTGGGTAATTTATAAAGAAATAGTATCTATTGCTTTCAGTTTTGGAGCCTGGGAAGTCCAAAGTCCAGAGAACTATCTGGTGAGGGCCTTCTTAGTGGAAACTCTTCAGAATCCCATGGCGACCAAGGTATCACATGGCAAGAATGGGCTGAGCAAGAGGGAGCTGACCTGCTCGCTTGCTCTCCTTGTAAAGCCATCAGAACCGTGCCCACGACTCCATGAACGGATCAGTCCATTCATAATCCAATCGCCTCCCAAAGGCCCCACCTTTCACTCACTGTAATAGGATTTCCCACCCTCTTAACTGCCACAGTGGAGATCAAGCTTCCAGCACATGAACTTTTGGGGGACACATTGGACCAATAGCAGAATTAGTGAGTGAGAAAGGGAGAGTTTGGTGCACTAGTTTCCAATGACTGCAATAACAAATTACCACAACCTTGTTAGCTTAAAACAACAGAAATTTATTCTCACACAGTTCTTCAGACCAGAAGTCCAAAATCAAGGTGTCAGCAGGGCCCCACTCCCTCTGGAGGCTCTAGGGTAGAATCAGTTCTCTGCCTCTTCTAGCTTCTGGTGGCTCCAGGAGTTCCTTGGCTTGTGGCTGCAGGACTCCAATCTCTGCCTCCATCTTCACATGGCACTCTCCTCTTCACTGTGTCTTCTCCTCTGACTCTTAGAAGGACACTTGCCACTGGAGTTAGGGCCCATCTGGATAATCCAGGATAATCTCACTTTGAGATCTTTAACTTTATTACACTTGCAAAAACCCTTTTATTTCCAAATAAGGTCACATTTACACATTCTGGATATTAGGACATAGACATATCTTTGGGGAGGCTACCATTCAACCCATTACAATCAGCTGTAACTATTTTTGTGGAAAATGCTGGGAGCCTGAGTTAGGATGCTGGTCCTAGAGAGAAGTGGATGGATTTTAAATGTATTTTAGTGCTAGAGCACAGAGGAGTTTGTGATGGCTTAAAAGTAGTAGCTTAGAGACAAGTGGAGGGTGACTCGGTGGCCAAAATGGGATTTGGATACAGAAGTATGGTCTGGGTTTCAAATAGACTCCTCTGGGGCCATGTGGGAGATGGACTGGAAGGGAGAGACTAGAGGCTAGGAAGAAGCCTGGGGCAGGGTCCAGGCAGGAGAGCAGGGGTCCTGAACCAGCCTGAACCCTGAGGACAGAGAATCAGGAGGCAGAAGGGAGCCAGCTTAGGGACTGATGATGAGCTGTGTGGAAGAGGGGGAGAAAGGGGACGAGGATGGCACCTGGGGATTTGGCCCAGTGACTGGGTAGATGGTGGGACTGCCTCAGATGGGGAAACCAAGCAAAGGAGAGAACTGGAGGGAGACCCTGAGCTCTGTGTGGGATAGGTCAGGGAGAGGGTCCTGGGGACATACAAGAGACAGTTGGCTGCAGCTCAGGAGAGAGACTTAGAAAATAGCAGATGAAGGGAGAGAGAGCTGGATCCTCAGAGAAGTGGGCTTCCCAGGCTCTGAGTGGGTGACTGGGTGGTGGGAAAGCCCCTGAAGTTGGAAATATGTGAGGGACTTGGGACATGACAAGAGCGAAGAAGCTATGGGGACCTCAGGGGAGACTGCAGAGGCTGCTGGGTACACATCAGCAATCAGGTACCGCAAAGTCAGAACTGACTGCCCAGGTCGTATACTCAGTCCTGGTCCCAATGCAGAGGAAGGAAGTGCTGCCTGAGGCTCAACTTGCACTGGGTGTGTTGGCACCGCCCAGTTGCCCTCCCCACTCCCAAGGACCTTCATACCTCAGCCTGCAGCACTTTCACTTCCCCCAGGTTCCCAGCCCCTGCCTCCCAGCACACATGAGCGGCCTCCTCTAGAACAGAATGCAGACTCCGAGAGAAGGGTAAAGACAAAGGGGGGTGATGGAGGAAGAAGGACAAGAACCCAGAACAAAAGGGCTAGAAACCCAGAGAGAAAGAGGATAGAGATCCTCAGGGGTCAGAGAGGGGACAAGGACCCAGAGTGAGGTGGATAGAGACCCAGAGAGAGGGGGCAGAGACCTAGGACAGGGAAGGGGGGACAGAGCTGGATGCAGAAATGTCAGAGTTTAGCAGGCCATGAGGTCAGAGTGTCTGTGAGGTCGGCTACTGTCCAGGGCCAGCCCTGGAGTCCTAGTGCCCAGAGATGGGTGCAAGCAGATCAGGAGTCCCTGTGGATCACCCAGCCTGAGCCATGGAGACCTGGGAGGGACTGCCCCATGTGTCTTTGGTGCCTGCAAATTCCAAGACCCCTCAGGTACCAGTGTGTGTGTCCCAGTGGAGCAGGTGAGGGAGAAAGGGACGAGACAGAGAGAGAGTCACCCCGTGTGAAGGAGGGGGTGGGGCCCTACCCATGGAACTTCCTCTTTCTCTGTGTTCTTCCTTTCCCCCTCTCTCTCTTTCTCTCGACCTCTGTCTTTCTGCCTGTCTTGTGAGGGAGAAAGGGACGAGACAGAGAGAGAGTCACCCCGTGTGAAGGAGGGGGTGGGGCCCCACCCATGGAACTTCCTCTTTCTCTGTGTTCTTCCTTTCCCCCTCTCTCTCTTTCTCTCTCGACCTCTGTCTTTCTGTCTGTCTGCCCCACTGCCAACACCTCTTCTGTCTGGTCCCTCAAGCTGGTTGCTCACCCCTCTAGGTGAAGATGTCGGCCCAGGAGAGCTGCCTCAGCCTCATCAAGTACTTCCTCTTCGTTTTCAACCTCTTCTTCTTTGTGAGTTGCCTCATGCTCCCCAGCCTGGGCCCTTCCCCAGCCCCCAGACCTTATATCTCCCTTTGCCCACAACCGTATTCTCATCTCCTCTCCCCAGGTCCTAGGCAGCCTTATTTTCTGCTTTGGCATCTGGATACTCATCGACAAGACCAGCTTCGTGTCCTTTGTGGGTGAGGGGGGCTGGGACAGTCGGGGAGGGCCTTCCTGGAGCAGACACAGACTCAGCCTTCCCCCTAGTGACCTCCTGGGGTCTCGCTTGTTCCAAGGAGGCTCACGGTGCCTAACTCCCTAGGCAGGTCCCAGGCTCTGATCCACTGCTCGCCATTGCTGTGCCTCTCAGAGCCTGTGTCTTCCTCTGGCAAATGTGGTTGTGCATACCAGTAATAACAATAAAACTGGCCTGTTAGCTCAGTTAGTTAGAGCATGGTGTTATAACACCAAGGTCAAATGTTCAGATTCCCCGTATCAGCCAGTCACCAAAAAAAAAGAATGATAGCCATTTCTCAGGCACTTCCTATGTGCTAGACTTTGTGCTGCTCTTGTGGTGTTCATCAGATCCTCCCACAAACCCTCTTGAGATTCAGCAAGGGGAAGTCCCTTGCTGAGTGTCACGCAGCAAGGAAGTAGAAGAGCAGAAATAACGTTAATAACAATAATGGGAAAATAATAATGGAGCAATCATCAAAATCCTAGCAGCTCATATTTTATAAGTGTTTGCCCTGTGTTGAGGACTGGGTTGAACACATGCTCCCATGTGTCTCTCAAAACAACCCTAGGAAATAGATGTCGCTACGCCCTAGGCCTCAGGGAGATTTAAATGACCACACCAATGTGACAAAACAAGTGATGGGGCTCAAACTATTGAGGGTGAGAAGCTGAAGAAGGAAAGAATGCGAGCAAAAGAGACGGACAGAGATGGGGCGCTGAGGGGGTATAGAGGCGCAGAGAGAAAGAGGAGGCAGAGATCTAGAGAGAGGAGGAGAAAGACCCAGAAGAAGAGAGACAGAAACTCAGGGTGGGGCAGGGCCAGAGTCCCAGAGAGAGGCAAAGACCTGGGATGCCAGAAGCCCAGAGAGAGCCCCCCAAGATACTCCTCCCCACTTAGGTGGCTGCCTAGGTAGGGGATGGAGCTGCTTGCAGCTGTGAACACTGCGTTCACCATCACTGCTTCTCACCTCTCCCAGGCTTATCCTTCCTGCCCCTGCAGATCTGGTCCAAGGTCCTGGCCGTCTCGGGAATCCTCACTATGGGCCTTGCCCTCCTGGGCTGTGTGGGGGCCCTCAAGGAGCTCCGCTGCCTTCTGAGCCTGGTGAGTGCCCCACCCCATCTCCATCCCTAGGATCACTCCTGTTCCCTACCTCTGCCCAGCCCTCAAAAATGGCCTGGGGAAGGGGTCAGCCTTACCTCTTCACTCTGCCCCCCAGTATTTTGGGATGCTGCTGCTCCTGTTTGCCACACAGATCACCCTGGGAATCCTTATCTCCACTCAGCGGGTCCGGGTGAGTTGGCTGTGGCCACCAGCACCACTTCACCCCCCAGGGTGGGGGTGATGAAAACAAAGCAGACAGGGGCTGACATAGACAAAGAGAAATAACAGAGAGAGATAGAGGACAGAAAGACAGAGATACAAAGTCAGAGAAAGACACACTGACAGGGATGGAGGGGGAGAGAGAAAAAGAACCAAAGGTAAACACGCAGGAAAGAGAAGAGAAAGAACATGCAGAGAAACAGAAGCCCCTCAAGAAGAGAGAGAGACTTGACCCCTAGAAATAGTGGGAGAAACAGAAAGATGGTAAAAACGGGCACAGAGAGTCTGAAGAACAGAGACATAGCTGATCATTCATTGAAGAACTGAGGCCAACACAAAGATGCACAAGGACCCCTTGGTGCTGAGACAGCCTGGGAGGGGCTGGAGCAGGGCAGATAGAGCTCAGCCTCATTCGTGGCCTCTCAGGTGGAGCGAAGCGTGCAGGACATCGTAAAGAAGACCATCCAAAACTACCACGCCAACCCGGAGGACACAGTGGCCGAGGAGAGTTGGGACTACGTGCAGTTCCAGGTGCGTGAGCCTCCCACCCCACTCTGAGGGGTACCCGTCCTCTAGTTCCCAGACTCTGACGTGCCTCGGCTCTATGCTTCGAGGTGACGCCTCTCTGACGTAGCCCCAGGCCCAACTCCAGGACTCTAAAGTATCCCAACCCCTGCCATGCCTAACGTGGTCCTGCCCCCAGATGATAACCTAACTAACTCCAACGTGCCCCAGTACCTCGACCCTGACGTGGCTCCACCCTCCGTCTCGATGAGATTCTGCCCCCGCTGCAACTTGGCTCGGTCCCCAACCCAAAGCCCCTTAGCGTGACCCGGCTTCCTACCCCGTAGTGACTCTGGATCCCACAGGTCCCCGACCCGGATGACATTCCATTCCCTGGACACACACGTGGCCCCGCACTCCCATCCACCTGTCCCCCTTCTAAGGCTGAATTTCACTGCCCACCCAGTCTCCGGTCCATAGGGTGATGCTGCAGCTCCTCCCCCAGCCCTACGTCACCCCGTTACTCCTGTCTCTCCCTGCCTCATGTTCCCATCATGTCCTCTGATCTCACTGCGACCCCAGCTTGGCCCACTGTCCTCCACCCCGCACCCACCACATAGCCCCCTGCTCCCGGCCATAACCTCATACCCATCACCTAGTCCCCTGATCCCCAGCATCCTCTTGCATCTCTCCAGTCCCAGTCCCTCTGACTCGTATCCCTGTCCCAGCTGCGCTGCTGCGGCTGGCACTCTCCGCAGGACTGGTTCCAGGTCCTCATCCTGAGAGGAAACGAGTCGGAGGCGCACCGTGTGCCTTGCTCCTGCTACAACTCATCGTCGGCCAACGACTCCGCAGTCTTAGATAAGATGACCTTCCCCCAGCTCAGCCGGCTCTCACCTCTGGCGCGGCCCGGACCCAGTACAGACCTCTGCGTGGTCTCTGCAAAAAGCCACATCTACCGCGAGGTGGGGAGGGGTTTAGAGCAGGAACTGCCCTAGTGAGTCGGGTCCTGCGGGAGGGGCTGGGCTGCAGGCGAGGAGCGTGACCTTCAGGATGCGGGGCCTTATTAAATGGGCAGTGTCTTCGAGAAGGGTGGGGCTACGAGGAAGGGAACCGCACAACAGGAGGCGGAGCTCTATAGGAGAGGGGCCTACACTCAGGATGGGGCCTAAAGAAAAAGCCGGGCTGGATCTGGAGCACTGATGTTTGAGGAGTGGCAAAGCTCGGACGAGATGAGGCGAAGGCGCAGAGACCAGAGAACCCTGGTTAACTAGGGGAGGGGATCGGTGCCTGAAGAGAGGCGAGGGCTGGGCTGAGAACGCGCGGTTTGGGCTTGAGGGCAAATCCTAGAAAGAATCCTACCTTTAATCTTTCCCTACGCCCCCAGGGCTGCGCGCAGAGCCTTCAGAAGTGGCTGCACAACAACCTCATTTCCATTGTGGGAGTCTGTCTGGGAATCAGCCTATTCGAGGTGATCTGGCCCCGCCCCCATTCGCGTTTGGCTTTATAATCCCTAGATGGCCCCGCCCTTCATTGCACGTCCTCGCATCCCGGCCCTCCCGTAGCTCCACTTAAACAGAATGGAGGAGACCTAGCTTCTGCGAGCCCTGGTTGGCCGTACGCAGACTCCTGCTATTGGCAGTATCGCTCCCCTTTCCCTGCAGGTGGGTGTCATGGTACTGAGCCTGCAGCTACAGCGCAGGACGCTCCGCCGGGAGACACAGCCGCAAGTGCCGGGTGCTGACGGTTCGAGACCCGGCCCCGGCCAGAGCGCTGACAGTGGCGGCGGGCGCCATGGCGCCCTCAGCAGCAGCGGGCGTAGCAGCAGTCCGTGGGGTGGCTGGGGCATGGCGGGAGCTTGCCCCGGCTGGGGGGAGAAGGCCCCGCAGGGCAAGCTGCCCATGGCCCTGGGGCCCTGGCCTCTTTGGGATCAGGATGAGGAGCAGCTCGAGACCGGGAGCACAAGTGCAGAAGTGGAGGCCGAGGCGGAATTAGAGGCCGAGGCGGAATTAGAGGCCAAGACGGTGGGGGACACAGATGAGCTTCCAGAATAAAGGACTCGAGGCTTGCTTCCTTCTAACCTTACTTTGTCAGGCTCTATCTCGACTTACTGCAGCCGGGTTTCTCCATCCTCTTCCAGCTGTTCCCGCCTCATTAGCTGCCACTTCTCAGTTCTCCCTCTAGCCCCGCCCATTGCTACCCACCCCCGTGACCCTGTCCCCCGGTACTTCCCCTGGCCCCGCCCCCTCACTTTTCTGGGGCTCCGGTGACCCCGCACGCATCGCCGGCACCCCTTCGCCCTTTCTGACGGCGTCTCCTTTCTCTGTAGCTCGGCTTCATGACGCTGTCGATATTCCTGTGCAGAAACCTGGACTACGTCTACGATCGGCTGGCTCGATACCGCTAGGCCCCGCCCCGACCCTTTGACGTGCCCGGCACTTCCCTGCCGCCTGTAAATATTTGTTTAATCCGCAGTTCGCCCCAGGCGTTGAGGCTTCCTCACTCCCCTGGGGACCCAGGTGTCTGCGGCCCCGTTGCTGTACCTCTCCCCCGGGGCTTCGTTTCCTTGCCTCATCTACCGGCCTGCCACCTCCCACAAGATTATCTTTCGCCTAAACCTCAAATAAATTTCCTGAACTTTGGTAAAATAGCTTTATCTTCTGTGAGAATGCAAACCAACCCATTTTGGGAGGGGGATGGAGGCAACAAAGTCTAGCCCACGACTCACGTAGAAGGGGGGAATGAGACTAGAAAGCCTCACCCCACTGCTTGCCCAGTTGAAACAAAGTCACAACCCTAACACCCACGTATAAATATCTCGTCATATTAAAAAAAGAAAGTCCAGGGCCCACCTGGCTCTGCTCCTGCACAGAAAGGGTTGATCACATGGGGGATGGGAGGGTAGAGGCAACTGGAAGACAGGAAGCAGTAAAAGCCAATGTGTGACTAGTGCCCTCCAAAACATCCAGAAGGGCTGTCAGAGGCTAAGCCAGTGCTGTACCTGGGGGTTGTCTCACTCCTGTCCCCAATCCCTGATGGTCTGGAGTGATAAATCCTTTCAGACATCCCCTGTGAGCTCCCACTATCAAGGTCTATCCTTTCTTCAGTCCCAGCCCATTCGTCTCACCAACCATGTTTTGGGGTCCCTTCTAACAGGGGTCAGCCCCAGGTGCTTAGGCTTGTGAGTTCATTCCCTTTTCATTTCAGCCCTCTCCTCAAATAAGAAGCATGAGGAGAGCCGAAGGTTCCTTCCTGGGAGAAGAGTGTTCTGGGGTTAGCCAGTTTTGGGATCCCCCTTCAGTCCCTGACCAGGCGGTAAATGTGATGCTGAGCCCCACGCTCACTGGTGGAGACCTCGAAGACATAGGCAGTGCAGAGCAGCAATTCCTGGGTATCTCTGTTTGTCACCACCTGCCAGGGAGGCCAGAAAAAGGGGCTTATGCTTGGAAGGGAGGGCAGGGAACATTGTGCCCTCCCCAAGCTATCATGGGAAACCCAGCAGGCCTCTTTTCCACTTCCCAGGAAAGGGGTTCCTGCCATATCATGTTCCCAAGCAAAAGGGATATCCAACATGTCAGATTCCCCGGGCAATGAGGGTTACTTACACTAAACTGAGGGTATTAAATAGTGTATCATGTCTCAGGGTCAATGAGGTCCCCACTACATCACACTTCCTAGGTAAAAGGGGTCCCTACCATGTCACAGGTAAAAGGAGTACCATCGCTTCAGGTTCCCCAGTCATGGGTCTCTACCTCAGCACATTCCTCAAAGTTAAAGGGGCTCCAACTATATCATGTTCTCTGAACTAAGGACAGGTTCCCTAGGATGTTGGGGATCTGCCTCGAGGTGTCCTCATATCAGCTTCCCCAGTGAAAGAGGGATCCCCTTATGTGAGAGTGCTATGAAGTCCCCACCACATCAATTCCTGGTTAAAAGAACCACAGGCTGAAGGCTCACTGTGGGGCCCCCACCGTGTCAGTTCCATGGGCAAAGGGGTCCCCTAGACTGAAGGTATGTTGAGGGCACTCCCCCCCCCTACATCAGGGCTCCTGCTCCAGCCTCGCCCCAGCATGTCACCTGGAGGATGGTGAAGTTCTCAAGGACGCTGTTCATCATGTATCGCTCGGGCAGCTGCCGCAGCTTGTGCAAGAAATTCACCAAGTACTCACACATGGGTGAGCGCAGCAGTCGGTACACAAACCTCCCGTCCTCCAGCTGGGCACGCTCCGTCTGAACCAGGGGACAGGGAATGGGGAGGACAGTGGCTGAGAGAGACACATGGGTCACCCCAGGAACCAAACTCCACCCCCTGCCTCTCAGATGCCACACTCATTCACGCTGCCATCATCCCACCCAGTGATCAGAGATGGGGCCCTGAACCCTCAGATATCTAGTTCAGGATTTCTGAGCCTGCAGACCAGGAACCCCTCCAGCCCTTCAAAGTGATACTCTGAACCCGCGATGACCTCTGAACTCCTCTGACCTCCAGGCCCTCACATACCCTCCAAACCCTCCTCCAAAGACCCCTCCATAACATCCCTATGTGACCTTTTAACTTAAGACCCCTCAAATCCCCAGCAACCCTTAAGTGTGACTTCTGAACCTCCTTGCCCTATGAACTCCTCCATATCCATAAAAACCTTCTAAATCTTATGGACTCTAAATCTACACGTTACCTTTCAACTCTCAAAGTGACCCTACTTGTGACTTTTGAACTCCCTATTAGCTCCAAACCCATACACTAAACCCCCAAAAGAAGCTGGGACCTTCCCATCATGCACACCCCCAAATGCCTGAGCCATCACAGCTCTGGATCCATTCTGCATCTCCAGAGTGGTTGGTGGCTGGGCACTCACCCGCCCAGAGCTTCACCCCTCCAGCCTCACCTCCACCTTCTCCACCACTTGCTTGCCAAAGGAGCAGACCTTGGAGGAACAGGTGAGGGTCATGTGCTCCAGGCTTTCGTACTGGCTGCTCACTCCGTAAAAGCCACTGCTGCTGCTGCTGCTGCCGACCCCCACCTCCTCACCATTTGGGCCCCAGTTTAGGTCCGCCTGGGAGATGAGGAGGCACAGGTGAGTAAGAAGGGATGTCCCTTATAAACAGTGAGGACTCTGCCCCATGGCCTGGTTTCCCTCATTGTTCTGCAGTTGCCCACCTCTCAGCTTTCAAAGTTCCTACCTCTCCATGGGCTGGTTTCTGGAGAAGACACACCCTTCCATCAGTATTGGAGAAGTCTGGGTCCCCAAAGTGGTCCTGACCCTCTCCCCTCAGTAATCCCCCACCAAAGGAGCCCTGGAATTCGACTTTTTTCTCTTGAAGTCCCCAACTCAAGAGTTCAACCCCTTCAAGGACCTGGTTTCTAAAGCTAGAGGCTACTCCTTAGCCTGGCAGGGCCTGGGGAAGCCTGACTCCTCTCTAGAACACTCTCCTTGGCCCTTTCAGCCAATTCTCAAAGGCCAGATCCCCTCCGAAACCGTAGTGGCCAAGTGTGTATACAATTGGCTGAGTGTCATTAGGCCAAGTGGGGCCTAATGAAGCGTAAGACCTCATCACACCGTTGGTCTGAATCACCTCATGAGGCACCTCTTCTTTCTAATTTTAGTCACTAACACTTTTGTCAGGTCACTGTCCTCAGAGATCTGACTCCATCCATCATTCTGGCAACAGGACTTTACATAGCCTGGCAAAATCAAAGGACTTACCAGCTGCTTCTTTGGGCCCTTTCAGAAACTAGGCTTCCTTCTCCAGACCTGGGACCTGGTGACAACTGTCTTCAGCCCTAACAATGCCTCAGACCTCAGCAGCACATCCCTAGAGCCATCTCAAGCCACCACTTCACATGCCAGAAAGCTTTATAACCACGATAGCTGCATATCCAGCAAAACCAGTAAAGTTCAAACCCCAGGAGGCTTCCTTTTCAGAGACTAGATGCCTCCAACGCCCTGGTTACCAAAGAATTAATACTCCCTAAACATTCACTTAATGTGCATTGAGCCTCTATAGCATCAGTCATTTTTCTGGACACCAAACCAAACAGGCCTGAGAAAGACCCAAGATGACTAAGACCCCTCTTAGTCACAATTATATATATACCACACGGTATCAAGTCTGTATATAGCAAGTGCTCAGTAAATGATTGTTAAATAAATACAGGCCTTTACAAAGCCACTCACCAGATCCTTCAATGACTTCCTCAAGGCCAGACATTCTCTAGCAAGAGGCTGTGGTGGAATCTAGAAAAGCCTCAGATCCCTCTTTAGAAAAAGGACCTTTTGATGACTCTATTGGCTGGGGAGAGGGGGCCATTCCTTAGCAACAAGGCTTGTTGTGGTCAGTTGGGGCATGAGAAAGCCTGAAACATGGCAAGCCAATCCCCAGGGCCATATTAGTCACAAGACTGGGTATGGCAAAGTCTAGTGGGATCTGGGAAAGCCCAAGTGCCTCCATCCTGCCTGGGGGCCAGAATTTTCATGGTCCTTGTTGCAAAGGAGGCTGACACTCCAAGCCATGAGGACTGACTGGTGAGGCCCAAGCTGATTTGGTAGGTCCTGAGACTATCTCCCTTAGAGCCAGAGGACTTAGCTGGGATACCATGTGATTTATGAGCACTTTTTGTTTTGCTTCAGGAACTTACCCAGAACTTGACCAGGAAAAAGGCGTGGGGGGGCCCACGATCATACAGCTCCCGCAGACCACCCTTTTTCTCAGGGAATTTATCATAGATCTGCCGGACATCCACGCTCTCAAGTGGGGGTGCTCCAGGGCTGGGGCAGTGCTGGCTGATGTGTACGAACAGGTGCCTCTGGTACTGAGGAAGGTCAGCCATGGGTGAGAAGTGGGAGGTGGGCTGGACCCCCAACCCTCACTGCCTAAGCCCATCTCCCACACCTGTCACCATCCACACAGTCCCAGTGAGTTGTTCTACACTCCAAACAGCACTGGACCTGACCCTGAGGCACTGTCCACACTCCCTTCTGCCCCTCCACTCCCACGGTCCCCAACTCTCTGCCCTATCCCCTCTTTTCCATTCCCACTGGCCCAGCCTCAGCTCAGGCCTCTTTCTCTCTCACCTTGTCCCAGCCTCTTCCCTGGCTTCCCAGCGTCAAACCTCTCCTTTCTAGTTCATCACTCACATGGCTCCAAAACTGACCCTGGCCCTCTGCTGCTGATAGTCCTCCCATGGCTCCCCAGTACCCCCAGGACAAAGCCCACACCCCCTCAATCTGGCCCTGTACAGAACAGGTGCTCATGAATGTTCAATGGATGGATGGATGGGAATACATACAGCCTGCATCCAAGACTCCCTATCTGTCCCCATTCTCATGACTTCTTGTCTTGACTTCTTCCATATCCTAAAGTCCTTCCCATCTTCTCCTCCAATACAAATCTTCTGTCTATCTTCCCAGGCCAAAGTTCATTCAAATCTGCCTCTTCCTGGAAGCCTCCCTTGATCACAATCAAATGGAATCTCTCTACCCCATCACCCTGAGAAGAAAGTCTTGGTCCCTCAGATTGGTAATGCCATCTCCTTCAGAACCAGCACCTGCCCACCTATCTGCAGCCTCACCAGCTCCCACCATATTCTTTTATTTGTTTCCCTGAAAACTTCATGCTCTGCCGATCTCTATATCTGGAACATCCAATTCTGCAAAAATGGAAAACTCCTATATAATCCTCAAAGCCAAAATCAAACATTATCATCTCAAGGAAGCTTTCACTGACTCCCCAGGCAGAATTAATCCTCTATACACCCACAAAAACTTGAGCTTCCCCTACCCCAACACATTCTCATTATTCACCAGACATCTATCAAAAGAGCTACTCTATGCAGGCACTATACTGGGTCCCGAGGCTACAAGACAAAGTCCCTGACCTCACAGTCTACTGGCAGAGACAGAAAATATAATAGTCAACCCACAGAAAATATAAATTTCAGTGAGTGATGTACGCTGTGAGGAAAATCATAATCAAGTATAGTAAGGGGGTCAAAAGTGATGGCGGCTGGTATTTTCCATAAGGTGGTTTGGGAAAGCCTATTTGAGAAGATAATCAAGCAAAGGTCTGAATGAATGGAGAGAGTGAGGCATGGGGATATCTGGGGAAAGCACATTCCAGGAAGCAGGAACAACAGGTACCAGGCCCTGAGGCAGGAGTGGGCCTGACCTGTTTGAGAAAGAGCAAGGTGGTCAGTGTGGCTGGAGCAGAGAGAGCAAGGGTGAGAGGGTGGGAGGTGAAGGCAGAGTGGGAATGAGGGTCAGATCATGCAGAACCTTGTGGGCCACTGAAAGGACTTCAGCTTTTGCTCCAACTGGGAAGGGAGGGTTTTAACCTCATTCGACTTGAGTTTTACCAGGATCACCATATACAGTTATTAGTGTTTTAATTAGAGCTTATGTGGTATGGCTGAGACTGCTATGTGTTCACAAGTCCTGTTTCCTTTTATACCACTAAACTACATTTCCCAGGCTCCTTTGCAGTTAGGTGTGACCACATGACTAAGTTCTGGCCAATGGGATGTGAGTAGACCTGATAGTTGCCATTTGCAAGCAAGCCCCATAAAACCTCCTGAACTATCTTGACTCTCTCCCTTCCTCCATCTGCCAGCCAGATGCAGAGAATCCGAGAGCAGATTCTGAAGCCCTAGAAAATAGCAGAGCCAAAAAATGGAAGGAGCCTGGACCCCTAAATCACTGTGTGGAAGGCTCCTGATGAACACCCACACTGGAATGTGACATGAGTGAAAATTTTCTATGGTGTTCAGTTCCCCTGACAGTTGGGAGTTGTTTCTTGTCAGCATCTGTCTCCATGCTAGCCCAGGAGAAGCTTGAGCCCAGAAATAAGATCTACTTTTCCAAGTTCCTACTATGCATTACAAAGCCTGGAAGACAGTAGGAACTAAACCACGTTTGATGAATGAATGAGCAAACAATGTCCTGGAGAATTTCTCTGACCTTCCCAGTCTGTGACCCTATGACCTTCCAGTTCCTTTATGCTAGTAGTTCTCAAAGTGTGGTCCTCAGACCAGCCACATCAGCATCACCTGGGAGCTTGTTAGAAATGCAAATTCTTAAGCCCCACATCAGATCTAATGAATGAGAAATTCTGGGGATGGGGCTCAGCAATATATTTTAACAAGCCCTCCAGATATTCTGATACATGCTAAAGTCTGAGAAACACTGCTTTATACCTTCCCTCCTTAACACCCTCTACATTACAGAAGCCCCCAGTGACTATCCCAAAATTTCACTCACAGAGTCAACTGCATCCGGCAGTTCCACAAAGGCCGAGAACTCCACCAGTTGCAACCGGGCAGTACCCAGGGCCCGAGCCTGCCAAGCTGGGGGTGATGGGGCAGGTGGGGGCAAAGGTGAGAGGGCTTGAGGGGGCTCATACCCTAGAGAGAGAAAAGAACAATAAAAATTGCTATCATTTATTAAATATATCAGGCACTGTGCTCTCTTGCCTGCCTCCACTTAGAAGCTGAAAAAGCTAAATACTCACTTTCCCAGCCTCCCTTGCAGCTAGAGGTGGCCAAGTGACACAGTCCTGGCCAATGAGACGTTAGGGGGAATCTGCTGGGGGGCTCCTGGGAAGGAGTTTCTTCCTGAATAAAAAAGACAGAACTTTGGGAGGAGAAAGTTTTTGGCCCTGGCCAAGTCCCACTTAGGACATGATGGCTGGAGTTGCAACAGCCATCTTGGGACAATAAGACAGAGGCTAAGGGAACTATAGAGATTCTAGTCCTGATATTGCTGAGCCAGCACAGGAGCAGCCCACTTCCAGACTTTTTGTTATGTGGAATTGTTAAAGCCTTCACTATTTATGGCACTATTAATTTGGGTATTCTGTCACTTGCAACCAAAAGTATTCCTAATCGGTGAATCTGTGGAACTTGAAAGAGATAGGGACTCCCCTTCTTTCACCAATGTGAGTTCTTAGGGCCACATCAGCAGGAGCATGAACTTCTGGAAGCCATCTTTGCTGCCAAGTGGGCAGTCTGACTGGGAATGAAGCCACCACACAGGAAAGCAGATCAAAGCCAGTCCCAATGCTGCTACCATTTGAGCCCCTTGATCAAGCCATTCCTGAAGCCATATCATAGACTCTCAGTTACTTGAACCAATAAATTCATCTTATTCTTCTTTCTCTTGCTTCAGCTATTTTTTTTTTCCTTTTTGTCTTTTTTCATGTCCGGCAA